ATATTCTAATTGGGGTAAGATACCACCTAAACATTAATTTATCATGTTATCATGTTATTTGTTGCTTCCTTCAAGAACAAAATCTGGGCAGAATTCCATCCTTAACCTTCTCCATATATTAATGAAGATGTTCAAGGGGATATTGGGGCAGGGAGGGTTTATAATCTTCAAAATTCTTTAAAACACAAAATGGATTCATTGCTTTGCTGCGTAGTGAGGCAATCATAACTATTTCATGCATTGTTCTTCTGACCAGTTTCATCTCTCGTAGCCATTTTCTTGTGACAAGTCTCTCCATATATAGGTAGGCTGGTCCTCAGATGGCATACAATCCACCACTGGGGCCATATCTAAGGTGTTATCAATGTGATAGAACCTGCATATGTTTTTCTGATATAGTCTACTCCACACTGCAGTGAGATGAAGTAAAACTTTGTAAAGGGAAGATACCATTTGTTGTTGTTATTGTTAGCTTCCCTCAAGTTAGCCTCAACTCAGGGTGACCATGTGGATGAGACACATCTCCAAGCCCCCTGTCCTCAACCACTCTGCTCAGCTCCTGAAGGTCAGGCCATGACCTCTCTGACTGAGTCTATCCATCTGACATGCAGTCATTGCCTCGTTCTACTACCTTCTACCTTTACCAGCATTATTGTCTTTTCTAATGAGTTATGTCTTCTCATGATGTGACCAAAGTATGACAGCCTCAGTTTAATCATCTTGGCTTCCAAAGAGATTTCAGGCTTGATCTGTTTTAAGACCCATTTGTTTGTCTTCTTGTCTGCCCACAGCACTCTTCTCCAGCACCACATCTCAAATGAACTGATTTTCTTCTTATCTGCTTTATTCACTGTCCATCTCTCACATCCATACATGGTGATGGGGAATATAATGGCTTGAATGATTTTGACATCATACACTGTTTAATATAAAACCTCTGGCTGGATGGCACATGACCAATACCTACAAATCTAGAAAGCCTTTTCTAATACTTAATTCAGTCAGTCCCCTCCTGTCAATTGATGTACAACTGAGAATATATTATCCTCATACAGGTGTCCTATTCCACAACGAACATCACTGGAATCATATCTCTGTTGTACATAAATTGGCTCACATAAATTCAGTCATGAAGCCATTAATCTGATACACTTTCCCATTCATTTTGGGACTTTAACTATCAAATCATTTCTGTGATCCTGCCCACATACATCCCAAAACATTGTGTCATTTGCATCCTTGTATGACACCATATTGGCATTCAGTTCATGGATGCTTCAATGACAGCACTGGGAAGTGATACTCAAAGCAGTGAATGCATGTAGCCAGCATGGCATAGTGGTTTGAGTGTAGGACTAGGAATCTGGAGATTGGGGTTTTATTCCCCATTTAGCCATAAAAACCTGCTGAGTGACTGTGGCTGAATCACACCCTCTCAAACTCAGAAAACCCCATGATAGGCCCACCTTACGGTTACCATAAGTTGGGAATGACTTGAAGGCATGCAACAACAAGAAAACAACAATATGTAGAGCAAGGATGGAAAATTGCACAGGGAAGACCATTGGCCAGTGGCTACACCCACACACCCCTGGTATTTCTGTACAGCATGTCAGCTGGAACTGAAAGTGACAACCCAAAAATTCATAAAGAAATCCCCTGATTTTAATATGATCTGAGGAGAAGGAATAAATCTAGGCACTATCCCAATCCTTCATATAGTGTAACTTAGTAGTGACTAACCTTTTCCTGGATTGTGGATTTTAATTTTAACTATCTTCATTCTGTATGCTTAAGCTGGAATTCATGTTAGGAACTGTATTATCAACTGAACTGTTTGTTCCATTGCTTAACTTTCATTATACCTAGATGATTCTTCCACAATATTCAATTTTAATCTGTCTTGTTACACCTTAAAGACATTGCCTCTTGAATAGCATTATTGACAGAGTTTTTTAAAGTTAAACTGAAATGAAAGCCCCCAAAGCTAGGTTTAAAATATCTGGGGATATGTGTCATAATAAAGAGTGGGGATAATTAATTATTTGCTGTAATAGTTTGCTGCATGGTAAAATTCTCAAATCTTAACTGCAGGGCTGTCAAAGGAATCTGACTAGCTTACTCATGAGATAAACAAAAAATGATGTACCCAAAAAAGCTAAAATATATTACAGAATTTGAATTTGAAGAGGGAATAAGGTTGCACTCTTCAAATACACTAGAGAAAAAAATTCAGTATTTCCAACTAAGTTATTTAGGTTAGGGGAAGATAAGGTTACAATAACAAATGTAGCTTGGAGACCACAAAAAAGAGCCTAAACTATTGGAGAACTGAAGTTTTACAGTTCAAATTAGTATACAAGACCAGGAAAGCAAAGAAACCCATGAATCAGACATTCCCAGAATGGTTTCCTCCATATATCAGGGACTACAACTGATCCATGACAGTTCAGGTGGCTTCAGCTTCAGTGTCCTGAATACATCTGATCTCAGAGGTTAAGCAGAGTTGGGTCTGATTGGTAGTTACATGAAATTATGGAGCTTCTGTCCTAAGCCTTGATCCCAGTGAGAAACCCTGGCTTAATATCGGACATGGAGTCTCCCCTCTACCACCAACTCTCCCCCACAAGATGCACTCCTATAGTATCTAAGGCAGGGCAAAGAGCTCCCAGATATATTCTGATAGCCAGATATACACCTACGATTGCATCCTCTCAGATCTCCTGTACAGATTTTGAAGACTTTTTAGCATTGTGGAGAAAAGTGAATAAAACCTTTGTTCCACCCTGAAAGAATAATTTATCTAAGAGTAGCATCCCTAGCTAGGGAATATTAGGTGCAGTAGGGTCACCAGGTGCATTAGAGAGCCAGTCTGGTGTAGTGGCTTAAGTGTTGGGCTATGACTCTGGAAACCAGGGTTCAAATCCTGACTCAGCCATGTGAACCCACTGGGTGACTTTGGGCATGTCACAGTCTCTCAACCTCAGAAGATGGCAATGTCAAACTCTCTCTTAACAAACTTGGCAAGAAAACTCCATGATAGGGTTGCTTGGGGTTGTCATATGCTGGAAATGACTTGAAGGCACACAACAACAATAAGGGGGAAGCAGAGGGGTGACCTTGGGCCGCCCTGGGAAGCTGCGCCACAGGGCCAAGGTATCCCCACACCTCGGCCCCGCAGTGCAGCTTCACTGCCCCTGGAAGGAGTGCTAAAATAGCATTCCTTCCACAAGTCGCCGAAGGTGCACCACAAAAGGCTGGCGGTGCACCTTTGGCGACACTTCCGCCGCAGCATGTGCGGACGCTGCGGCGGGAAGGCATCATCAAAGCGCCGGCCATGTGGAGGGGCCAGCGCTCCGACGATGCCTTCGGGAAGGGGTTGTGGTGCCCACCGTGTGGCTGCCCCTCCACTTCCTTGCCCCCAAAACGGCCCTTTGCACCATCTGCTTCCCTCCAATAGAATCACCAGAATCCTCTTGGATACATATTTGGAGGCAGTTTCCAGTTACATAAGCATAAATACTTTTGAGAAACTTGTGTAAGGAGGTATCAACTACCATCTTGTGTAATATTCTTTCTTTGCTGTGCAGTGAGAGTCAAATGCACATTTCTTGTTTATACAGCTCCAGCCAAAGAGTGCCTAAGTTCACATCTGGCCCCAGCCACTGATTTGCTATGTGTATCTCTGGCTTCCAAATAGTTGGGGGGAAAAGCAGCACAAATCTTCCAGTATAAATTTGTAGGCAGATCTTTACAGTGCTCAATAAGATCTAGCCTCTCCAAGCAAGGAATTATGGAAGTTGTAGGTCAACATGCTAGAAGCCACCATGTTGGAGAGACCCAACTAACTTTTTGATGACAGGCATGTAGACCTACAACTTTCATCATTCCTTTCTAGGAGAGGCTAGATCCTATTGAGCACTGTAAAGATCTGTCTCCAAATGTATGCTGAAATATCTTTGCTGCTCCTTAGAATGCTCTTTACTCCTGCAGCTTCTTCCCATGCTAGGCTGATGGAATGGAAAGAATATTCTCAAATGTAAAGAGTATTCTCAGCTTTAATCATCTTTGATAAGAAAGGATGTCCTCATAGGTCAGGGCTCCTGTTTAAAACAACTCAACCCCCTGAAATTTTGAGATTTGAAAAGAAATACAAAAGGACTTTTGAAGAAACATACTGGATTTTTGCACAAGAGCTATTGAATTTTTGCAAAGGGTTTTTGCACAAAAAATATTTTATAAAAAAAAAAAACTTTGTCAAAAAAGGGACCCAAATACCCCCCCATCATCAACAGAATACTCAACAGAATATTTATAAAACCTCTTTAAATCTCATCCAGCAGGAAGAAAACTTTCTATAGTCTCTATATGTTTCATAGTGATGATTTACATCCCTAATCAATACCACAGAACTGTGGTCCCATGCCTTAGGTCTCTTTGACTAGATGGTTACTGTTCATGTTGCCCTCCCTTCTAACAAAAACAATTCCTAAGTAACATGAAATAACAGGAACTTTCTTCCAAAAAATTGCCTATTATTCCTTCTCTGGCAGAGATGAGCCATTACTTAGCCATTGATGGCAGAGATGAGCCATTACTCTGGATTACTGCAACGCGCTCTACATGGGGCTACCCTTGTGCCTAACTCGGAAACTTCAATTAGTACAAAATATGGCAGCCAGATTAATTACTGGGACATCTCGGAGGGAGCACATAACACCAGCACTTAAATCCCTCCATTGGCTGCCAATTAGTTTCCGGGCACAGTACAAGGTGTTGGTTTTAACCTTTAAAGCCCTACATGGCTTGGGTCCATCTTACCTTAGGGACCGCCTCTCCCCGTATGATCCCCCTCGGGCCCTTCGGTCCTCTGGGAGGAACCTGTTACAGCCAATAAAGACCAGGCTTTCACAGACCTCCCAGAGGGCCTTCTCCGCTACCGCCCCCAAGCTATGGAACGGCCTGCTGGATGAGATCCGTCTTATTTCTACGCTCACTGCCTTTAATAAGGCAGTGAAGACGGATCTTTTCCGGCAGGCCTTCCCAGAATAATACCCCCCAGATACTTCTGCCCTGGGGAGACATTTTGTCTGGTACTTTATCGGCCTCCCTGCGATGCTTGGGTTGGTCATTGTATTGTTGTTTTATGTAGTAGTCTATTGTTTTAATTTTTTCTCTTGTTTAATTCTGTTTTAAGGGGTTTAGAGGTGGGATTTAGGGTCGGGACTGTTTTACATTGTTGATTTTTAACTTGTGTAACCCCCTCGATTCTTGGGCAGAGAGGCGGGCTATAAATAAAACTTATTATTATTATTATTATTATTATTATTATTAGAGTACATACTTTGGATGTAAAACATTTCACCTTCAATCCGCAACATGTAGATTTCCATTTAAAAGATGAAAGGAAAGACATCTGCCTCAGACAGCCTAGAAAGCTGTTTCTAGTAGGAATGAGTATTGAAATAGGAAAAGAAGAAAAGAGAAAGCTTTTGTATTTATAGCAGATTTCAGCTAAGATGCTATGAGAAGGAGTGTAACTTCACACTAATGGAGTTTTGCAAAGACTGTGCATTAGTGAATCACAACTGAGTGTACACAACTGAATGTGCAGACAAATGTGAAAAGCACAATTTCAGTGTGTAATGCACAGCTGCATGTACAGTGCACAATAAGCATCAGCATGCATAATATGCAGTTGTCCCATCTATATAGTGGTATTGGATTGTGACTCCACTTCAAAATGAATATGGACTTCTGCACTGGGCAAAAATGTTCAACTGCTTCTAGAAAGGAATGTATATGTGTAAATTGCTAAGAAGATGCCTACCTTAATGAACTAATTCTGAAGTTATCTATTTGTGGTTTGAATCATCCTTTCCCATTCTTTTCCATGGAGAACTATTTTACTTGAATCTGAAGGGAAAGAAAATCTGCAGCCCCAGAATTCATTACTGCAGTGAACTTGACATCCCAAGGAGTACTTGATGTTGGAGGGATGGTGTCCTGAGCTGGGGCTCATTCCAGCCCATTACTGTGTGAACCTAGGAAGGAACAAACGTAAGTTAAAAGGATGTCAAATTGAGGATGGAATAAGCTTGTTTGCCACTGCACCAGACACTAAGACATGGAGCAATGGTTTCAAACTACAAGAAAAGAGATTCCACCTCAACTTTAAGAAGAATGTCCTGATGGTAAGAACTGACCAGAAGGGAAATACACTTCATGGAAGAGTGGTGGAATCTCCTTCTTTGGAGTTTTTTTAAACAGGCTGGATGGGCATCTTTGGGAATGCTTTGATTGTATATTCATGCATGACTGGATGGCCCTTGGGGTCTCTTCCATCTCTATGATTCTATGATTAAGATGTGTTCCTTCCAAGGCCCAGTTAGCATG